AAATGGAAGCCTTATTTGTTTCTTTATCCCTTCTCTTCGCTTTTAAATAATCAGCAGGTTACTAAAAATCAGAAACAAGTAACCTGTTGATTTATCCCTTCTTAAATCATAGCATGCTGGACTTGCTTCCCTGGTTTCCCTCTAACTTCAAGTAACCTGTTGATTTATCATTTATCCCTTCTTCTTCTTCTTCTTCTTCGTCTTGTTTTGAGAGACTATGGAAACAAGGGTTCTTGATGGTAAATCAACAGGTTATTTGAAGTTAGAGGGAAACCAGGAAAGCAAGTCCAGCATTCTGAATCCGAAATAAGACAGCTTTGTCTTGTTTCTAAAGATATCTTCTTGATACAGCCCATTTTGTTAGAGCTTGAAGCTCCTATCAAGATCTGTGGCATTTTCTTTTCCTTCATGTTTAAAGTTTGATTCTTCTTGAAGTGGGTTGCTTTCTGTTTATGTGTTTGAACTTGGAAAAGTACTTGTTTTTGGTGTGTTTTGTCACGGAAAACATTCTGAATTTGATACCCTGTGACCTGTTTGTTGAACTGATTGATATGTTCAAAAACACAACATGTTGATCTTTTAAATCCAGATTTGGGATGTTGTGATGAAGATTTGAATACTTGTAAATCTTGTGAAATGTTTGATCTTCTCAGTTCTTTGTTTAAGTTTCGAAATCTTGAAATTTGATGTTTAAAACTTGGGTCTGGTCTTATACCTGATGCAACTGCATGATGAACCAATTGAACCAAGTCTTAAAATGGTGGCTGCAGGAGACATTCATGGCCATACTCGGATCTCCTGAGGCTTTTCAAAAACGGAGGCTTCCCTCCGCGTGCCAATTACTTATTCTTAGGGGATTACATCGACCGGGGAAAGCAAAGCCTCGAAACGATATGCCTTCTCCTCTAATACAAGATCAAGTATCCGGAGAACTTCTTTCTTCTTCAGGGTAACCACAATGCGCATCGGTGAACTGTTTCTACGGTATGGCTTCTATGACGAGTGCAAATGAACGTTCAACATCCGGCTATGGAAAGTGTAATCAGACATTGAACTTTCGTTTGCACTCGTCAAATAAGCCGTGGATACTGTTCACCGATGCACATTCATGGTTACCCCAAAGAAGGAAGAAGTTAAAGCATGGGGGACTGTCGCCGGAGCTCCATAATTTAGACAATATTAGAAAGTTAAAGCGGCCTATCGATGTCCCTAAATCCGTTTTACTACGTGACCTCCTATGGTCTGATCCTAGTAAAGACATTCAAGGCTGGGGGCCTGATGATAGGGGAGTGTCGTACATATTTGGTGCTGATAGGGTGATCGATTGTCTCAAGAGGCTTGATCTTGATCTAATATGCCGTGCACACCAGGTTCGTATGCAGTTTTCATGGAATCATTTGGTACAAATGGTTATAGTCTCCGCCTCGGGTTCTTTTATGTCGTTTTAAAATTGAATCTATACATTTGCTTTCAGGTCGTCGATGAGGGATACCAGTTCTTCGCCGATAGGCAACTTGTAACGATATTTGCAGCACCGAATTACTGTGGAGAGCTAGACAATACTGCAGCCGTGATGAGTGTGGATGAAACATTAATGTGGTCATTCCAAATACTGAAGCCTGCAGATAAGAAACCGAAATTCGGGATCGGGATATCGACTTCGAGCAAGTCTCCTACACTTCCGTCTAGAATCAGGGTACATTCAAAAATCTTTTCTTTCCTATAGTTTCTGCAATTACTCGTATTAGACACATATCCGTATTCGAAATAATCTCCCCTGCCCTCTTCTTTTCATCTTTGTATTTAAGCTCGTTTTCTGCATTTTTTCTTGCCATTCGGAGTAATACATGAACCCATGTGAAACTAATTATTTTTTGTATTTTGAATCATAATTTGACACATTGTCATCATTGTGTCATTTTCTCCCTGATATAATTTAATGATATTAATAATTACAATTTTAATTCAATGATTCTTTGTACCAAATGATAGATTTTTATCCTTTTTATACTTTGAAATCAAATGTAAAGATTTTTATCTTTTTTTATATCTTGATCCAATAAATATCTACTATGTTTTGAATCTGGGGATAAAAGGATAGATTTTTATCTTTTTTATATTTTGAAATCATCATATAATCTTAAAAGATCTATTTTTTTATAAAAAAAAATTATTATTCGATACACAACTAGTTAAACGGATCTATGTATTGAACACTATGCTTCTTGTGGTTAAGGTATTGAGATTCGAACTTCAAACTTATTGAATATCGTCTCTTAAACTCTTATTTTTATACATTTTTTATTTTCTGATTTATTTATTGTAGTGATGGCAGAGGATCGATTGCAAGTTCTTAGTGCACTTGATGCAGCCAAAACACAGTGGTATCATTTCACAGGAATCCCACTGATGCATATGACCTGTTTTGCATTTCTCTGGTCAGCAAACTGCTTGGTCGCATATATTATCACAAGGAAGGTGTTTCGGCCCCTGGAACTCTTCCGTCCAACGTCTCGGCTGCCGTCAATGGTGTTGTGTTCTGCGGTACCCTTGCGGGGCAGCTCTTTTTCGGTTGGCTCGGTGATAAGATGGGACGAATGCGTGTGTATGGCTTGACCCTATTGCTCATGGGCCATGACGTGAAATCCGCTATGACTACCCTTTGCTTCTTTCGGTTTTGGTATCGGCAGCTATTATCCTCTTTCCGCTACGATCATGTCGGAGTACGCAAACAAAAAGACTCGTGGTGCTTTCCTTGCTGCGGTTTTCGCAATGCAGGGCTTTGGGATTTTGACCGGAGGGTTGGCTGCGAATATAGTTTCGGCAGCAGTTAAGTCCTATTACCCTGCACCAACTTATGCAGTGGATGCATCGACTGTACCCCAGGCTGATTATGATTATCATGATGTTCAGAGCAGTCCCGGCTTTGCTCACGTATTACTGGCGGATGAAAATGCCCGAAACCGCTCGTTACACTGCCTTGGTCGCCAAGAATGTGTAACAGGCTGCAGCAGATATGTCGAAAGTTCTTCAGGTTGATTTGGAATCCGAACCGGAGAAACTAGAATAGAACAAAGTGAATGAATTTGGGTTGTTCTCAGCACGGTTTCTTCGTCGACACGGACTTCACTTACTCGGTACTACCAGCACTTGGTTCTTGCTAGACATTGTCTTCTACAGTCAAAATCTGTTCCAAAAGGACATCTTTAGTGCCATTGGTTGATTTCAAAAGGCAAACACCATGACTGCCATTGAAAAGAGCTCAAAAACTCATTGCACTATGCAGCACTGTTTCGGGATAATGGTTCACCGTCGCATTGATCGACAATGTCGTAAGATTCAAGATCCAACTGATGGGATTTTTCTTCATGACCCTGTTCATGTTTGCATTGGCAATCCCATATCATCATTGGACTCTACCCGACAACCTGATCGGATTCGTTGTCATGTACTCGTTAACGTTCTTTTTCATGAATTTTGGACCGAACGCGACCACATTCGTAGTCCCTGCTGAGATTTTCCCAGCAAGATTGAGATTGACATGCCACGGAATATCGGCTGCATCGGGCAAGGCAGCGGCTATGGTTGGCGCATTTGGGTTTCTGTATGCTGCAGATGCCATTGGAGTGAAGAAATGACTTATAATTCTGGGTTTCGTCAACTTTCTGGGATTGTTGTTCACATTTGATGTCTGAAACCAAAGGAAAATCACTGGAAGAGATTTCTGGGGAAGGTGATGAATAAAATGGAACCGAAACGAAATCTGGGTAGCAATGATGGTATCAGAAGAATCAAGCCTTTTAACCTCTCGTTAATTGGTATGAATTATGTGTCTTAACCATTTGATGTTTGGACTTTGCTTAAAGTTCTTGATAAATTTTCGTTAAATTTTTCTTTCAAGTTAATTTCATGGTGTTCTTGTGATTGCCATTTCTTAGCATAGTATTAAATTGAGATCCGCACGGTAACATTTTTCATGGTCGTCGTGACACCTCAAATCGTAGCCGCAACTGTAATATAGTACTTCCAAATCCAGATTCCGAATGTTCTTATTTAATCCGAAAAATTCAACAACGTGAACTCATCCAATTCAAAACCCCGTTATCAACATTTAAGGCTAGATAAACTGATAAACAACTTTACAGGTTATTTATCAGTTTATCTATCGAATCTTACAGTCGTCAACTCAAAACGATGGCGCCCATTGAATCTTTGATCATTAGACGAATACGTTGGACATGAAGACGTTTCCCATAGAACGACAACTTTCGGGATGGCAGAGGTTTCGATACCATCAGGATTATCGAAAACTTCTCTATTCATCCAATCAGAAGTTGCAGATTTTGCAGCTGCTTCTCTCAGATGCCTCTATGACGGGTTTCGGATAGTTTAACCCCAACTCCACACCTGCAGCAGCTTTAAGCACAGTGAGAGGTGCATCCCACGGATGATGGATCCACTCAGTTCACAATCTCTTAAAGATTTTAGAAATTCGTCTTCTAACATAATTTTTTTTCTTTTCGAGTATAAACCTATCGTCATCAACATTAAATGGTAGATAAATTGATAGATAACTTTGTAGGTTGCTATCAATTTATCTTTTAAATTCTACAATCATCAACTTCGAAACAATTGTTGCGATTCCGAAACGAGATCAAACCTAACTTTCAATTTAACATTTTCTAGTCTCATGATCCCTCGGTTCGATCAACAATCAAAACCATAAATATTTTTCCAAAATGTCTTCAAATTCAAGACCTTGATGCAGAGCTGCAGTAACTCCACAAGAGAAAAGCAATGCCCTCCATCGTCATTATGTCGAACAACTTATTCAACCTTGAAAACGTTCTTCCTGAACTTCAAAACTTATCATGGAAAGAATGTTTACCTCCACAAGGGACCAATTTAAAAAAATTAAATTAAAAGAGATCTGTAAGGTCATTTTACCCAAATTTATCATGAAAAACTATTAAACATAATGTCAAAAAAAAAATCAACTTTCTCTACTGTTTCCCGAGATCCAAACGGAAAAAGCTTTTCTCCTCCAAACATAAAATGTCGTTAGGGCACAAAAGTTCGGGGAATCCGGCCGCCATACTTTCTTCTCTCGTGAACAAAAGAGAAAAGCTTCAAGACGACCTTCGCAATATCGAAAAACAGGTTTTATTTTTCCTGCTTTGCCCTTGAAATTTTTGCTTTCTTTTATGTTTATATTTTAGTAAAGAAGTTACAAATTTGAGGAATTTCGCAATTAAACTTAAATTAATTAATTTAATTTATATTTTTTTGCAGGTTTATGAGTTAGAGACTAATTATTTACAAGATTCGAGCCATTTCGGGCATGTTTTGAAAGGATTCGAAGGGTTTCTTTCTTCATCCAAGAACACTTCAAAGTAACTATTCTCTTTACCCATATGATATTCTTATCAATTGCTGGTAATTTTATATCTGATTTTTTTTTCAATCATTGAATTCCCAGTTTGCAGTTTCTAAATTTCTGGCTGTATGCAAATTATCATCATCTGTATGAATAAAAATTCTTTACTGAGAACTTTTTGTTTCATAGAAAATGAATGAGAATTTGTTACATATTTCCCTGTTAGCTTAGTTTACAATTAATCATATCCGAACCCGCAATTAACATAGTAGGATTCAAAGTAGTACATAAATGGAATACAAACCACATATTCATGTCTGTAATTGAGACTTATACTGAATACTGCTGGTTATTCAAGTACTTCATGTTCGGCCTTTTGTGACACAAAATTCATGTCAATTTTTTTTTCTATGCAGCTTGAAGAGATCTAGGAAGTTTCAGCCTGAAGATAGATTGTTTTCTTTGTCATCAGTCACGTCACCAGCGGTATGAGATGAATAAGCTTCGGTGTCGATACATAACTGTTCTTTTACCACTTTGTAGCTCTTTATCATGGATATATGCAACACTTGACTTGTGAATTCAGTGTTAGATGGTTGGAGTTAATAAAAAAAATTATGAATATTTACTTGGGCTTAATGTCTTGGTGATCCCAAAAATGGAGTTTCGAATAAGATTTCTAACAGATTAGGTAGCAACCACTCTGTATTGAGCTTACGAAGGCTAATATGTTTTGGTATGATTTAAAATGTTTATTCATGTTAAAGAGAATTGAAACCAGGTGTTGGAACTATCGACTTCCTAAATAGCATCTTTGATTCATCACCACATTCACATGTGATGATATTAAGTAGTTGGATATTATGTTTATTTCATAGTGAGACATGAGAATTTTGTCCTGAATCCTAATATGATAACATCAATGCATGTTGAGATGGTTAGCTGAAGTTTTGTGTTAGGTTTCCTTCAGCACTTGATTAAAATTGAAGAATAAAGTAGTGTTTTTTCCCAGTAATATGCTTCTTTGAACCGCTTGTAGGCATCAATGATCATATTATAACATGAAAGCATTTAACCGAGTTACGAAACGTAAAGTCTGTACTGTTGGTGCTCATCTTTAGAACCACTTAATATTGCATTTCTCCTGTTTCACCATGATTGTGCAACTGTGCTGCAACTTCCATTTGTTTCAGCAGAAATAAATTGCGCAAAACCGGTCATGGCCTGACTGTGTCTCAAAAGTACATATAGTTGAGATTAGTTATTCATATTTAACAAAGACTGCTTTGTTCACTTTGCTTCTTTATGTTCCAGGCTGAAGAACTCGGAGTTCGACAGGATGGTAAACTTTGTTCATTACTATACTAATCTTAACCCTATTTTTAGACGCCCTTTGATTTGGCATCCTCTCTGTTGCAGATGGAAGATCCGACCGGTCTAAGGGTGGAGGCATAGCTGCCAATGGCCAGTGAGTTGGCATTACCCAAGTGAAACTTTTTACTTATCTATTCATAACATGGATCTTTTATTTTATTCTTTCAGAGGTAAACCGAAGAAGGGAAGAACCGCCTCATCGGCAAGGGACGGAAAGAGAACCAGGCCATCGAGTGAACAAGATTTCGATGATGAAGATGATCCCGATATGAGCTTGAGATAGGTTAAATAGCTACTTAAAATGTTGTAACAATTGAGGGGAATTCTTAATATTTATTTAGTCTTAGGTAGTCAATAGGGTGGTTTGTATTGCATATTGAAGAATGTAGCAAATTTAGAAAGTTTCATGTATTATGTACAAGTATTGTATAATTTCTAGTTTCCTGTATCTTGATTGTATTATGTTCTTTGTAATGACATAGAATTATATATGTAAATTCTCAGTTTAGCTTCAATTGTATCTTTTAGACCTGGTATTTGATGCCATTGGCGTACCATATTTTGAGATGTTTTGTCTTTTCCTTTTTGGACTAAATGATTATCAAATGCACATTAAAATTAGAACTTAACAAGTAATTTTACTCATCCCCTTAAATCAACAATGTTATCCCTCGTTTTTTATTTCATCAATTTAATTGTTAAACTCTTTGAATTACCTCAATTTCACCTTTTAACTAACACAACCGTTAAAATCTGTTTTTGACAGTTATCTACTTTCACACTAAAATTAGGCGTTAATGAAACTCGATTTGAAAAGACTAAATTTTTTAACTCCACTTGATGCTAAAAAAACACTTGTTGATTTGATTGGACTAAAAAAATAAAATAAAATTATAGTTAAATATAACTTGAATAACTCAAATTTTTTAGCAAATCAATTGATTTTCCAATTTAAGTCGAATTCTTTGACTAATTATAGAAAACTGTTTAAATCATAATGAAATAATACTATAACATTATAAATATTTATGAATAAATTTAAACATAAACTCAAATAAAGCGATTCCAAAAAAATAACTTCAAGTAAAGTTTAAGTTATAAAAATGACTCCTGAACTAGATTGAATGCTTACGTAGTTAAAATTGAGCAACTAACAGCTGATGAAGACCAAAGAGTGAAATTGATATAAATCAAAAGTTCAAGGATCAAATTAATTATTGCTGATTTGGACTATAAGAGAAAAAATAACCCTTAAAGCTATTTATAAATTATTAAACTAATAAATATCACAGTGACGAGACAATCGCGAATGTATTCAGTATCCGTGAAGGCGATGGCACTGGCAGTGATTTTCAAATTTTAACATGCATGACAAAATAGACGGGGAGACAAGTCAAGCACGACCTGTCCCTTTCCATTCCCATTATTTATCTAAATATGAATATCGCATCTGAAGTAAATACAAACACAAAACTCCAGGTATTCGCAGTAACATAAACTGCTTATCCCATTTAAATCGAAGCTAAAATCCGGGATTACCAAATATAAGATCCAAAATATCCATTATCAAGTAACATGCACGACGAAGATCAACCCGGGGATGTAACTTACCGATCATTAACAGTTCATATAGAATTGCTTTTTATTCAAAACTGCAGCTAGACACTCCTCTTTCAAACACATTCTAGAAATGACCAATGCATTCATGAGAGGCACGAGTATGCCAATTCCTTCTCCTCAACGAGCTCTGCTCCGGTCAAGTCCAACTTCTTCCTCGAGAATTCATCAATAGCCAGCCCTAAGACAAATTTCAAAAAAATAAATGAGGAAAGAAACTCGCAATTGAGCAAGAGAGAGAAGCTGCTGATGCACATGGTATTGGTAAATCTCCAAACTTCCTAAGAAATTGATGTAGAGATTAGAAAGTATAGCTACGATAAGATTTCAACAAAAGTGGCAGCACTTCGGTAACGAGCATGGGATCCGCATTCATATTAGTTTAACACATGCCGGCATAAAACTAGCCACAAGTCACAGAGATACTGGGATCATATTTTGTTGTATTTCTTACCTTGGACAATTGTCCATTCTCCATTCTTACAAGTAACAGGGAAGGAATAAATGACCCCAGCTGGTACATTGTATGATCCATCAGAGCAGACCCCCATAGAAACAAATGTGCCCTACCAGTACAACAAAACAAAGCCGGGGGGAAATCAGACAGTGACCTTATCAAATATCATTAGAAAAAGGACCGATTAACCAATATTGCCAACCTCAGGAGTTCCAAGGACCCAATCACGTATGTGATCACAAGCAGCACTAGCAGCAGATAGTGCACTTGAGAGTTTCCTAGCCTTGATGATTGCAGCACCACGCTGCTGGACGGTGGTGATGAATTCTCCATTCAACCTACAATGAATCAGTAATTTCAAAATGAGGTCTCAAAAATCTCGGTTCGAATATCTGTTCCATCAGATAATCGACTCTTTTAGTATTACTCTACTTACCATTCATCATCCTTAACAAGCTCACGAACAGGCTTGTCTCCAACAGTTGCATGATGGACATCAGGATATTGAGTTGATGAATGATTACCCCAAATAATCACATTCTTAACAACAGAAACTTGGACATTTAGTCTCTCCGAGATTTGACCTAATGCCCTGTTATGATCCAACCTTGTCAAACAGGTAATGTTCTTTGCAGGAATTGAAGGTGCAAATTCCTTCAGGATTAAGGCGTTGGTGTTGGCAGGGTTAGCAACAACAAGAACCTGAAACAAACATTAAATACACGAAAGCATGTAACGTCAAACAGAATATGAAATATTATTCCACGAATTTTGCCTTTACAGTGCCAGCAAAGAACCTCCAAGGTCCCATGAAAGGATATGTATGCTCATAAATTGATAGAAAGCAAAGTAGCTCATTTACTACAATTTTAAGTTATAAGAGTTAAGAGAAAATTGTTGTCCATTCCTGCCAAATCAGTAACAAAACACAAAATACAGTACAGACACTTTGAAGGTTTCAAAACACAGCTTCATAATTTCAGCAAATTATATTGCCCCAATCTATATAGGTGTGAAGAAGAAAAAATTAGGACTTCTTTCGAATATTTTGTGCAACTAGAGTTAAAAACATAAACTGGGATTTTTCATTTCACATGTGACCAAAATACTAGAAATTTAATGTTGAAACATTATTTCTCTCACCTTGCAGTTTGGAGCTGCATGCAGTTCCAAGGCAGACGCCTGAGACTTGTAAATAGAGACATTCTTCGACATCACATCTTTCCTTTCCATTCCTTCCTTCCTTGGGAAACCACCAACCATGACAGCAACATTGACTCCAGTGCATGCCTCAACAACATCGGTTGTAGCAACAACTCCTGACCAAAACAACAAAAGGTATATTCATACAAATTCAGTAGAATTTTAAATACAGCTCGACAACAACATTCAAAACTTAAACAACATGATAGATGATGATGAACAAAAATACCTTTTAGAAGAGGAAATGCAGCATCCACCAACTCCATTTTGACACCATTTAAAGCCTCTGCTGCAGGTGGGATATCGAGCATGTGAAGGATCACAGGCTGGTCAGCACCCAACATGATTCCCCTAGCGATCATGGGTACAAGTGCATACCCAATTTGTCCTGCAAACACAACAACAATAACAACAAATTTTCAGTAAACCATTTTGGAGAAAATAAAAAGAGAACAGTAAGTCCAAGATAAGTAGCTCATACTAGGGGGTGAGTAACCGATACATGTATGTGTCCAGCACAGTTCTATTTTTTTCTAAGTTTTCATGCATCTGGAGAATCCTTGAAGAGTCATATTCCCATACGTTCAAATCCAGTTCAACTCCCATGTACTAGCTCTTTAACGTCGATTCAAAACATAGCAGATTCCTCTACTACTTTCAATCATGAATAAAACGAATAGATCATTACGGAACATGTACAATACACTTTCTATTTATTTATTTAATTGTCTGTTTGTTTGCTTATGATCTTAGCAAGCCAACATATTTATTTTTCACACTAGCATGAAATTCAAATTTTTAAAGCACTTCTTCCATCATTTACCATATAAACTTCTACAGTCACTACTTTGAGCTACTAAGCATAGATCCAAGGAAAATCAAAAATACTTTTCAGTGAAATCCTAATTCTAGATCATTATTTTCTAAATCGAACAATAATCAGGGCAACCGAAACATCTACAAACAGTTGAAGTTCAGATCATGATTAGCTAGGTCTGGAAAACGGAGACCAGATTCATCGAATAAATATCACTAGATCTGAAGATTAGATTTCAAACGAGAAATGTTTAAGTAAAGGATCTGACTGATGGAACCATTACAGTACCTGCAGCTCCAGTAACGAGTACACGAACTGGTTCTTTCGCCATTGATGGAGATCGGAGGATAACAAAGAACGATGTCGTTTAGCAAAAGTCCAGTAGAGAGACTGAAACAAAAACTTTGAGCCGAGGAACAATAGATGATAAGAAAATGTACGGAATCGGCGTTTTTTGTAAGCCAAGATGCGATATTTCCGAGGGGGAAGTGATGATAAAAACAACCGTCCAATTATAGTTTTAGTCTCTCCACTACGCTAAAATTCATAAATTATATTTTTCAATGGTATAATGCCAAACTTAGCCCCCCAATATTTCGATAAATGATCATTTTAGCCCATTCTTTTTTCGATCATTTTAGCCCAATGTTTTAATTTTTTGTTAAAATAATCCCTATTGGATGAAAATCATTATTGAATAATAGTCTACACATATTATTGATGTGATATTTATATATATGCTTAATTGTTGACGTGTTGTATATCGGGTAGTTCTGCGGTGCGGTGCCTAAAAAACGGTTAATATACGGCGTGACCGATTAAACAAGTGACCGGTTAAAATTTAGATCGGTTATGTTATATTATTTAACCGGAAATATTATAAAGTACAATAACATACTAGGTAGCGCTTATATAATGTAATAGGTAGCGCTTATATTGACCTATTTTATAAGTAAACCGGTATATTTATACCGATAGCATTGCAAATTTACCTATTACATTATAATATGTTGAAAGTGTTTATACTTTTTTATAAAAAAGATCGATACTTTTTTTAAAGTTATGTAATATATATTTAATATATATGTTTATTGTTTTTAATTTAATGATAATATATACCGTAACATAAAAAATAAATCATTAGATACATATAATTACTAAATTGATATATTAAAACTCACTCAAAAAATAACCTTAAATTAATGTTTTCCACAGTGAAATAAGTATGGACACTTTTATAAAAATGATATATACTTTACAATATAAGCACTAACTATTACATTATATAAACGCTACTTATTACATTATATAAGTGATACCTATTACATCATATTTTTACCTATTATATTGAAAGTGTTCATACTTTTTATAAAAAGGATCGATACTTTTTTTAAAGTTATGTAATTTATGTTTCAATTTTTTTTAATAGAGTTTCATGTTTTCCACCTACAATATTAATTTAATAATTTTATTTGCACAAAAAATTATTTGATTGTTTTGATATTTTATAAAATAATATTTAGAATTTAAATTTAACAATATTAACCAAAGATAATAATAAATATGTAATATATATGTTTTTTGTTGTTAATTTAATAATAATATATATCGTAACGTAAAAAATAAATCATTAGACGCATATAATTACTAAATTAATATCTTAAAACTCACTCAAAAGATAACCTTAAATTAATGTTTTCCGCAGTGAAAAAAGTATGGACACTTTTATAAAAATGATAGATACTTTACAATATAAGCACTACCTATTACATTATATAAACGCTACCTATTACATTATATAAGCGCTACTATTACATCATATTTTTACCTATTATATTGAAAGTGTCCATACTTTTTTTAAAAATGATCGATACTTTTTTTTAAAGTTATGTAATTTATGTTTCAATTTTTTTTAATAGTGTTTCATGTTTTCCACCTACAATATTAATTTAATAATTTCATTTGCACAAAAAATTATTTGATTGTTTTGATATTTTATAAAATATTATTTAGTATTTAAATTTAACAATATTAACCAAAGATAATAATGAATATGTAATATATATGTTTATTGTTTTTAATTTAATAATAATATATACCATAACGTAAAAAATAAATCATTAGACGCCTATAATTACTAAATTAATATCTTAAAACTCACTCAAAAGATGTACATACCTAAATATGTAGTTATTGTACATACCTAAATTTAATGACAATATATACTTGTAGTTATTGTACATACCTAAATATGTACTGCAAATTTAATGTTGTACCCACGCTTTAACTACCACTACCAATACCACATCCTATTGAAAGCAGCACGACTGAAACATGTTCAAAATGAACCTTTGCTTACATCTCCATCAACTCCTGGACCACTGAACTTGCACAACAAAATTTTTGCCATGGATAATATTGATGTAGACAATGTTAAGCCAACCGAGGAATGCCATGAAGTACATAATGTTGATGAATCTGACAGATTTGTTGGTCAGCTCTTCTGTTCACGTGATCAAGCTTGGTACTTTTACAAGGGATTCGCACAGGAACATGGGTTTAGTGCACGTAAGGGAACAACACAGCTTGCCGTGGAAGGGAATGTGAAGACACAAGAATTTTGTTGTTCCAAAGAAGGGTTTCGAGTATCAAAAGTCAATACTGTTGATTGTCAACGTGCTCATACGCCAGTCACAAGAACATGATGTAAGGCTAGAGTCGTAGTTACAACAACAAATACAAACGATCAGTGGGTTATAATTAAGTCTGATCAGAAACATAATCATGCATTGTGCACACCTGTTATGACACCATTTATGTGTTCTAATAGAGCTGTAAGTAAGGTTGATATCGATGAGGCAACAACATTGAAAGAGGTCGGTGTTGGCACGTCACAAGTAATGAACTATTTAACGCAGCAGGCAGGGGGCTATCATAATGTTGGATTTACACATAAAGACCTCTACAATGCACTTCAAAGAGGTAAAGCAAAGGAAATCGTCAATGGGGATGTGAATGCGCTTATTGCCTACTTTGATTATAAGAAACATGATGATGCCGGGTTTTTTATGACATACTCGATAGACGAATCGGGGGCATTGTATAATCTTATTTGGTCGGATTCTACATCGAGATCGGATTACACATGCTTCGGTGATGTAATTACGTTCGACACAACGTATAAAGATAATTTGTATGGTCGACCAATTATGCCTATTGTTTGTGTCAATCATCACCATAACACAATTGTGTTTGCCACTGCCATAATCGCTGACGAGACGTCTCAATCTTTCGAGTGGGTGCTACAGAATTTTTTAGAAGCCATGATGAATAAATCACCTATTCCAGTTGTCACCGATGGGGATAGGGCAATGCAGAGGGCTATCAAATCTATTATCCCTTATGCTAAGCACAGATTATGTTCTTGGCATCTTTCTCGCAATGCACAAGCTAACATTGGTGACCCAAAGTTTACAGCGGCATTCTCAAAATGCATGGCTTCCTGGTGGACAACCAAGGAATTTGACATTCAATGGCGTTCGGTTGTTTCAGAATTCAACGTCCAAAAGCATCCATGGGTGATTGAGAAGGGAAATACACGACACTTATGGGCACAAGCATATCTAACCGGTCATTTATTTGCCAATATTCGCTCAACACAAAGGTGCGAGTCTATAAATGCTTCACTAGCTATTGCACTGAAACACAAGAAGACATATTTAGATGTTGTTCGTGCAATTAAAGATGGAATTATTAGAATGCGTATGAACGAGTTGAAAGTGGATTACTTAAGTTCCCATACGAAGCCCTTCCAGATCACAAAACTGATCGACCTTGAAAACCATGCCGCTGCGATTTTTACCCGCGAATCTTTTCGTGTGTTCCAAGATGAACTTATACCGGAGACATTGTAGCGGATTGAGGCATAGATTAAGTCCTTATCAGATGAATGTCAACATTATATTTTGTCAAAGTACGCAGAAAAAAATAGGAAATTTGAAATAAGTTTTTATTCTCGTACGAAAACTCTAATTTGCTCCTGCAAAAAATTCGAGACCGTTGGACTTCCGTGTCGCCATCAACTTCACATTTTGAAGCACTTGGACTACATATATTTTCCCGGGACTTTGATTCAAAGTAGGTGGACTAATGATGCGAAGGATTCTGCACCCAGCTATGTTGATTTGAATTTGTCTCCAGAAGTGATGCAAATGGCAAGGTTCGCTGCTCTACGTTCAACGTCAAGTAGGTTATGCTACATTGCATCAAAGACAGACGAGTCTTTCAAAACCGCAAGAGATGAGATGAAAAAACTAATAGAAGAATTAGAAAACTCGTTTGGTTTGAATGATTCAGTCAACCAGAGCATTGTAGTAAACAATGTTCGTGACCCTCAACGAAAACAACGCAAGCAAAAAGAAGTGTCGAAGAACAAGGTCGAGAAGAAAATTAGGCGATGTGAGTACTACAATGGTGAGGGACATAACAAACTAACATGTCCTCAAGTCAAGCTCAGTTTGAGTACAAGCACACAGCCTACATCAACTGATTTTTTCGAAGACGGAATGGAATGACAACGATCTCCATATATCGTAAGTATCAACATGACTCCTATTGTATGTACATATAATTATTTTGAATGAAGGAAGAAAAACCGCGTTACTTAAAATTACCGACACAATATTAAAAAGTGTCGATATAGGTTGTAGACCTATTCGCTCATAAAACCGGTATGTTTATACCGATTATATTACAAAATTATCTATTACATTATAATTCTGGGTTCTGATGTGTAAATGTCGACACTTTTTGACAAGGTATCGACACATTTTTCTTCCAATCTGGACATAAAGTACCGACACAATATTAAAAAGTGTCGATATAGGTTGTAGACCTATTCGCTCATAAAACCGGTATATTTATACCGGTTATATTACAAAATTATCTATTACATTATAATTCTGGGTTCCGATGTGTAAATGTCGACACTTTTTGACAAGGTATCGACACACTTTTCTTCCAATCTGGACATAAAGTACTGACACAATATTAAAAAGTGTCGATATAGGTTGTAGACCTATTCGCTCATAAAACCGGTATATTTATACCGGTTATATTACAAAATAATCTATTACATTATAATTCTGGGTTCCGATGTGTAAATGTCGACACTTTTTGACAAGGTTTCGACACATTTTTCTTTTAATCTGGACATAAAGTACCGACACAATATTAAAAAGTGTCGATATAGGTTGTAGACATATTCGCTCATAAAATCGGTATATTTATACCGGTTATATTACAAAATTATCTATTACATTATAATTCTGGGTTCCGATGTGTAAATGTCGACACTTTTTGACAAGGTATAGACACATTTTTTTCCAATCTGGACATAAAGTACCGACACAATATTAAAAAGTATCGATATAGGTTGTAGACCTATTCGCTCATAAAACCGATATATTTATACC